AGGAACCTCAACCCTGCACCTACAGTGTCTTACCTGTTTCAAGTCTACTCATCCTGCCATTAGAAGTCTGTGCTGATCCTAAAAGCGTCACATAATACCTCATCAGCCCTCTGATCACTGATTCAGTGCAGTGACAATGCAGCAAATGACAAAAGTGGATTGATGTTATTAAAACTGCTGCATGAGGTGAAGTCCTGATAGATGAAGCAGGACTGAGTCTAGACATACAGTTTAGAAAGGTTGCTCGCAGCTGAAGTTTATTGTTGTTAGCTCATCTATGATGCTGCACAGTGATAATATTGTGGTCTGTGGGCAGTTCAACTGTGAGATACGCAGTCTTACCCATCGTTGTGCTGCTCGTTTGCAGCTTCCTCAGATACCAAGTTATCATACTCCTCTGCAGCATATCTCTCCCAGTCAGAAATCTCCTGTCCCATTGTCTCAGCATCCTATAAAATTGCATAATCAGAACACCAATTCCATTACATCATCCAAGTGACCAAAACTGCCATAAAATTATATAAATCTGTTATTCTTTACCCTTGCAGCCAGTAAGGGATCCCTCTGTTCATGGTCTAGGTACTTCTCAATGTTGAAGAATGTGTCAAAGAAAATATGGGAAAGTTTACATCTCTTCAAGTCTCTGAGAGTGATCATTCCTGACGAAACAAAGCAAGCACATTACAAGAAATTTTTGCTAGGAGGATGTGTGAGACTACTTCAGAATGATGGCAGATGAGCATGCAAACTCTAAAATACCTAGGAAATTCAATCCAACACTAAGTTATTCATCATTTCAAATAATACCTGGGATTTCTGGCTTAACCATATCTAACATTTGGCACAGGCAGTCCTCAAAAGGCAGTGGCTCAATGGCCATGGCCTCAAGTTTCTGACACTGCTCCTGGTAGAAGTACTGCAGCTCATACATGGAAAGAACTCCATCTCCATCCAGGTCCATACAGCGAAACCAGTACTCTATGCTACACAATCAACAAGCAATCGTTACTAAACACTATTTTCTAGGGCTGCAACAAGAATAAAAAAACAACAAAAAAACAA